TTTTTCGGAGTTGTCCGCAACTTTGCCTGCCAAAGTGCAGCGGCAGCATTAACGAGCTCCCAGGTGGTTTCGTTCTTCGGGTCACCAGCGCGTCACTCACCTTAATGAGGCGACCATTCACCGACTCGATTTCCTTCCTGATGAGCGTCGACAGTAAGCGGGATGACGTTTACAAGCTGACAGCTGAAAATGGCACATTTTGCAAAAAGGCCTTTTTTTTTTTTTTTAAACCCCCCTCGGTGTGGCTAATCTTTGTGAAAGCTAGCCACACAAAAGCAAGGCTTGGAGTCACTGGCGACCGGTCATTTTTTTTTTTTAATCCTGCGGCATTGACTGGCAACCAATCCGTTCTCTAGCGAGATGTAGCCTAGCATCGGCTAACTAGATAGCGACCAATCCATTGCTTGTTCATATGTTCTGTGGCATTGGTTGGCGACCATTCAATTGTTTAGCCAGATGTACTCTGATATGAGCTGCGTTTCAGTTGGTTATTCTTTATTTTTAAAAAATGATTATTTCTTGAACAAAAACGTTTTTTTTCCATTTTCGTTATTTTGTTGGTTTTCGTTAATATGTGCCATCCGTTTCTTCATCGCCATCATTTTTCGTTATTTTGTTGGTTTTCGTTAATATGTGCCGTCCGTTTCTTCAACGCCATCATGTGGTGGGGGGGCTAGCAGAGGAACGCTGCTAAGTGAGGACAGGAGCTTCATTTTGTGTATTGCTGCCATCTTTTGGCATCGGTAGACAACTGCAAACTTTGTTTGGACGGGCGTCAATGATTTGGATATTTTCGCAGTTTTCGGCAGCTGTTGACGATCCAAGAAAAAGTGGAAATGAAATGAAATCGAATGAAACTAAAAAACAAAAACCCTCAAAACAATCTAGTCGAAACCGCAAGACATTTTTACCTGCTCACACCGTTAGCAGCCAGCATCCGTTGCACAAAGTTGTTTTTATTTCCAGGGAAGAAGTGAAATGTCTTTTCATCAGACGAGTGTGCGTGCGCGTGTGTGCACGCGCGAGCGAGCGTGTCTTTGATGAATGTTTTATCCCGTCAAGGCAGATTTGTGACACATTGGGAGCACACGCTGCTCATTAGGGGCGGAAGGTGAGCGACGGTTGAGGAGCGAGACAGCTTTTCATAATGAATGATGACAAACATACACAAATGAAGGAAGCATGAGCAAAGAGCTGCCTGCCGGCTTCGAGAGGCCAAGTGTGCTTGCTTCAAGATGTTCATTTGTCACGCCCAGTTGAAATTGACTGGAAAATGGACTGCGAAAACTCAAGAGAATTCCACATTGTATTGAAACAGCAAAATGTTCATTCAAATCATACCATTTTGTCAAACCCAATTCCACCGGCTTCCTGCTAAAATCGAATGCCAAATGCAATAGACGAGCATGTGCCGTGTGCTGCCTGAAGCCGTCAGCGAATTCAAACGAAATTCAATTCAGAGACACTAATCATGTAATACAAGTAATGACACTAACTGCTAATGTCGTTCCATTTGGAGATGATTACATTTTCCTTAAACTATTTGCAATGAGAACAGAAGAAAAAGTGTCCAGTAATAATAATAAAAATAATAATATTACACTGATGATGGTGATATTTCTATCATTCAAGCGCTGTCCCCAGAATAATTATGCAAATGGGCAAATTACGAGCGTCGCGTGGGAGCCATTGAAGCTCCCGTCAAAATTGCGCGATGGGATTTTTGGGTCACGTGTTAAGCCGCCGACGCCGTCTTTTGTGCACGGAGAGACGACAAAAAAATGACTTCAAAGGGAGACGATTCGCCTGCGTGGCCGCTTCCGTCAGGAAGCCGCCGCGCTTACCGCGCTTAGCACGCCCTCGCTAAGAGCCGCTTCGATGTCGACGTGCCCTCATTCAGACGTCAAAATCTCCCGACAAAGCCATGGCGATGTGGAAACAGCTTGATGGAGTTTCGCAGAACCATTGTGATGCTAATAGTACAAATAGTACTTTTGACATTAAAAAAAAATAATAATAATAAAAACGAATTGCCACCAATTACTCTTCCAGGCACGTACACACACGTTTGTTAGCTCAGGTGCTTCAACCCCAAAAAAGGGCACTCGTTGACAATCAAGAAAAAAGGCGAAAGAATGTATTTAACATACATATGTATTTCTCTGAACACAATCAAGTGAGCCAATAGTACAACTATTCATAATGCCGATAAAGGGAAGCTCCAGTGGATATAAAAAGTCTACACACCCTTCTGCAAATGACAGGTTTTTTTTTTGTGTGAAATGAAACTTTTTTTTTTCCCCTGCAGCGGTATTAGAGGAAGTCTCAAGAGGTTTGTTTTTTTTATTCTTATTTCTAATTGAAGAATGAAGAAGAAAAAATGGTCTGAAGAAAAAAAATAAAACAAAAGTGCAAGTGCTTGACGGCCACCTACTGGCGATGTGTGTATGTGACCGCTCTGTACTCGAGTCCAAGGACAGATAGGATATAGTACGCTTCTATGTGAACAGATTCAAGTTGGATTTCAATTGAGTAAGAGTCAAGTCAACTGGTTATGGTTCTATGTAACCCAATGGAGGCTCTGTGTGTGTGAACAGATTCCACTTCAATGTCACCAGGTTATGGTTCTGTGTAAAAAGTCTTTGCTTTGTTCGCTCCACTTCTGTCCCAATGTGACCTCATTGCAGTTGTGTGTGAATTGTTTCTACCTTTGTGTCGACGTGGAGAACAAAATAAATATTCAGCATCTATAACCAGTCGGGTTCACACAAGAATTCGGCGTCTAGTCGCAACAAAACTCTGATTAATTTGAAAGCTAATGTAGCCTTTCTCTTGAAATGAATTCCACTGCATGTGTTTAATATTTGATGCTTATCCCCCGCCACCCCCGCCACCCCAAAAATATTTCTGGACCATTTTTTAATTTTTGTGACTGAAAATAATGAGCCTGCTTCATTA